CTGGGAGTTGAAGTCCACCCATCTTAAAGTTGCCAAGGGGCTGGCTGGGGAATTCTGGGAGTTGAAGTCCACCCATCTTAAAGTTGCCAAGGTTGAGAAACACTGCTCTAGAGTGAAGTGAGTTTAGGGTTGTTTTCCTCTGCAGACAAAATGTTGGGCAACATATGATGGGAAAGATGTATCAATGCACATTAAGCATGCACAGTTATACACATTGGTCCTCTGGATTTCTAACATTCATGAACCAGGAGGAGTCTGGGACCCCCTTTTCAGAATAAAGCATTTTATTAAAAGGCATACACTTTCGTGAGCTGAAATGCCTCACTCCAAAAAGGGGGTCCCAGACTCCTCCTGATGTTTGGTACCGTACACTAGAAGGGCTCTTCTGCAATAACTTTCAAGGTGTCATTCAAAAGGGGGCTGTTGATAGCAAGAGGCCCTCTTGCTATCAAAAGGTGGGATAAAACACAAAATTAGAGCATCCATGCTTAGGGGTCTTTAGGCTGAACTCTGAAAAGGTACATGGACTGGAGGATGCCAAAGCTTGGAAATCCCATCATTCAGAGGGCTCTTCCCCGCAATCCCCTAACTGTGGATTGGAGATGTCTTAGCAGTTGGGATTAGAAGAAGGGAATGGAAGTCATCATCTTCAGTTCATCCTGAAGTTCAGCGGGAATGACCTCGGGAGATGGCAGGAAGAGCTGCAGCCTAGACAAGAGGCAGATAAGAGGCAGCTGAGCCCTCAGCAGGAATGGGTATGGCAAACATCTCAAAAGGGACCCTCCCTAGTTTCTTGGACTGTAAAGGCAAGGGGGGAGAGATATACTTTCAGATTTGCAAGTTTCTGTTCATGTAACCTTACAATCAATTAGAATTAGCTGATCTGGTTGTGTTTCCTGTCCGGTCTACCTGGTAAGGCTGACAGCAGCCTTTTTGCCAGCTTCTATGAAGTTATTCCATGGAACCACGGAACGGTCAGAGGAAGGAAAGGGGGTGAAATACTCCTTTAGCTGGGACTCTCCCTCCCCAAGGATAAGCTGCCCCGCTCTAGTCCTGATGGGACAGGCACAACAGTGCCTGATCATCAGGGATAGGCAAGTGCAATTTTTGACACAAGTCCAATGGTGCTGTGGTGTCTGCTATTAGTCCTCTGATCCCACAGTTATTGTTCCATGGGATTGGAGAACTAGCCCCTAAGGGGCCATTTTCCCCTGCTTGATACTCCCACCCTTCTACTGCTAGAAGTGGGGGGAGGAGGAGGAGGGGAACAGGTCTTTTGGGGCCCAGATCTCCTGGCCCCCAAAGGACCTGCCTCCCACCACAGAGGGGGGATTTAGGCCACTATGGGAGAAGAGAAAGTGCATGGGAGCATCTCTTCAGCTGCCACTCCTGTGTGGTGAAGTGGAATCCGACTGGATCTTTGGGTATGGGAAGAACTGGTGCTAAAAAGATCTGCTCCCCTCCTTCTCTCCCCTTCTCCTCCTCTTGCCAGGGCCAGCAGGAGAAGACAGCGGGGAAAAGCAAGAGAGAATGGCTCCTTTGCTTCCAGCACTCTGTTCCCATGAAGCAATCACTCCACGCAATGAGAGAAACAGCCCAAAGGGTCTTCTGCTGCCTGTAACTAGCCCATAGAAGGCACCCCCCAGCTGCTTCTCTCCTCCTCCCCTCTCAGGTGAACAGAGCCCCTCGGCTGCTTCAGAACACAGCCTGGATGTGGGATTGCACAGTTTTACACATACGTGCCTTTCTGACAGCTCCCAAAGAGCAGCACTTGAAGGCGGTTGGGCAGAACAGTCCAGCGAGAGAGTTGTGCTGGTTTCATTTCACTCACCTGAAAGAAGAGATGGCCTATGCGTGCCTCCAAATCTCATTTTTCGCAGCTTCTGCGTTGCAAAGACTGTCAGTCACCTACTGAAACTTCAGGGCACAACGTCCCACCCTTGGTGGCAGGAAAGACATGGAAACAGCCGTTTAAGTTAGTGAAACAGACAAATGAGGAAAACCCTGCCACCCCAGTTAAAGAAAAGGGGGGGAAGCCCCCCACTTATCCCCCAAATACAAAAGGCAGACAGCCCCAGTCGGACCTTTCAAAGAGGCACAGCGGTGCTGGGACACCCCCTTTTTCCATCCACCAAGAAGCACAGAACA